TTGAAATAGATCAAGAATAAAATAAAGCTATAACTGGAACAAATTCAGACAAATCCAGTGGCCCTAAAAAAAATTCAAAACGCCACTTTGGAACAGGTATGAATTACTCACGATTTTTTTGTTAACTCGTTTGGGCAATGTCATTACTATTTATTATTTTACTTGAATACATTTTCACGGTTTATAACATGCTATTACTGATTATTAGCACAAGAGCCTCTAGAGACTGAGCTTTATGAAATACTTGGAGTATCTCCGACTGCGTCCAGCAGTGAAATTAAGAAACAATACCATAAACTTGCGCTACAATTTCATCCGGATAAAAATAAATCACCTGATGCAGAACAGCAGGTTTGCATTTTATTACTACTATTTTTTTTACGTCCCATTTGAGAATAACTTACGAATTTTTTCCTTGTTTAGTTTAAAAAAATATCTGATGCGTACCAAATATTGTCAAACCCTGACTTGAGACAAAGATATAATGAATTTGGTGGAAAAAATAATGTTGAGCCTGAAGGTGGATTCGGTAAGTGATCAAGTAACCTAACAAATTTTTATGAACTTTATATCTTACTATTATGTTTATACTCCTTTTTTAAATAGTAAATCCGGAAGATTTCTTCAGGCAACAATTTGGTGGAGATCGTTTTGTCGACATAATTGGCGAAATATCCATTGGAAGAGATATGAAAGAAGTCTTGCAAAAAGCAGATGAGATGGCCAATGAAGATCTCACAGAAGAAGAGAGAATTCGTCGAGAAGCAAATAGAGCAGCTCATGACGATGAACGTGATAAGATTCGGCAACAACGCATAGACAAATTAGTCGCTAACCTAATACATAAGTTATCTATGTATGTAGAGGGAATCGACTACACTCAATCAGCTGCTGCAGACTTCAAAAGTATTATCGAGTATGAGGCAGAGGAGCTTAAGGCCGAGTCTTACGGGGTTGAACTATTGCATGCAATTGGTTTTACCTATTCGCTAAAAGCCAAGCAGTACCTTGGGTCTGAACAGATTTTCGGATTACCACGATTTGGACATATTCTTCGAGAAAAGGGTCATGTGTTTTCTGAAACCATCTCGACGTTACGATCTGCTATAGATTTACAACAATCCTTCAAGGAGTTACAGAAGGCTGAACAAGAAGGTGTGAACGCACAAGAGAAAAGTAAATTGGAGGAAGCGACGGCAACAAAAGTATATTATTGCCTTTTTTTAAAAAATTTTTTATTATCTTTGCCTGCTGTTGATGATTTATTTTATTTTGATTAAAGGGATTAACGGCACTGTGGAAAGGCTCTAAACTTGAAGTGGAAGGTGTTTTGAGAGAAGTATGTGATCGAGTCTTATCGGACCCTAGTGTATCGAAAACGGTTCTTAAAAAACGTGCTGAAGGGCTAAAGATTATCGGTGCCGTATATGAAAACGTCAAAGGGGACGTAGCTGTCTAGGGCATCCTTATTTCAAGAAAATTCTGGGACTTCCGAACAAGCTCCAGAGCCTATCCTCCATCTAAAATTTTTTTTCATAATTTTAATTGAGGTTATTTTTTAATAAATTTAATATTAAAGAGTCACGATCATCGGAGTGTGATCGACAAAGTAGATCACGAGATCATGTGCACTGTCAAAAGCACAAAAATCAAAAAAAATTCCTTTGCGGAATTTTACTATTTACTATCCCCTACTCTGACTCTAATCTCTATCCTAACCTAAATTCTAGTGGTAATAAACTTGACGCGTTCTTTTTTGATGTTACGTTACACGATCTACCACTATCACCACTGGTGACAAGTACTTTTAAAATATTCAAAGCTTAAGTTTTTAATTACCACACTTTTTTTTTATTGTCCGGAGCGACCCGCTGCTCCGATCTGTGATGGTATTATTTTTGATATAAAAGAACATGTTCTACGAGTAAAATTTCATTCACATTTTTGCTTAGAAGTCGGAATGCAGTTGTAGTGCTAACCACGATATCTTGGTTATTACCTTAACACGAATCTCTCAGTTTTATTGGATCCGAAAGTCTGAATTTGCTGAACATAAGGGTGCCCGTATTATTACTTGATGCAAGCACGTGCAATATAATCTCCTAGTGAGTTGAGGTTAAACACAAAGCAGTTAAATTAAATTCAAAGCAAATTTAATTTAAGCCAAAAGCAATTTAATTTGAATTCAAAGTATTAAATCAAAGTAGTAGAGCTTGGACCCGTGAACCTCTTATCCGGATATCCGTACGGTTAACCGTTAGATGGCAATCGTCATCTGTCAGTTTTAATACGGATAACCTAACTGGTATCCGCGGATATCAGCATAGCAGCCATAGAAAGACTTTCGTATGATTAGCTGTTTTAGTCTATTTAATTTTACATTATTTATACAGTTTAAAGTACTTTTTAAAAAAATCAAACTACGAAGAATAAACAAAAAAGAAATATAAAAAGTTTTATTAGGGTTGTAGGACTCATCATTAAAAATAATCAAAGTTATTTTTGGTTTTAGAGAAGTTAATATAATAGTGACTTCTTAAAGATAGATAGAATTAGGTTATTACCATGCTAACTTCTCTAAAACAAAAGGATTTTGATTATTTTTAATAGTAGAGTCCTACAACCCTATTAAAACTTTCTATATACTTTTTTTTTGTTTGTTTTTCATAGGCTGATTTTTTTATTTTAAACTGTATAAATAATGTAAAATTAAATAGATTTAAACAGCCAATCATACGAAAGTTTTTTTATAGGCATAGTAGGCTTGCTGATTTTTGTAGTAACTGGTTAATCAAATTATTTACATGGTAATATTTTATACAAAATTAATCATTATACAGTATATTAAAATTAAATTATATTAATAAATATATTATTACAAGGTTTAATAACAACTCAGTATTTAAGGTTATAATCCCAATATAACAGAATCATAATTTAAGATTTTGTTAAAAAAAAACTTTTATATAGATTAAAATAAAAATATATTGTAATATGCTTGTTTGTTTTTTTAATTTGGCAGTCCTGCTTATTATTCTTTATTTGGAAATACAAGAATTTATATCAACAGAAAGGTACAATTTTCTATACTATATTCCATGTGAGTAAAAATCAACTTGAATTAAACTCAGAGAATAATCCACCTAGTAGCAATTGGCTTTACATTAGATCCTTAACTTACTAAGGATATGAACTCTCTAATCCTTAGCCCTAGCAGCTGCATTGCTTCATCAAAAGAGCCAAATTAATGAAAACACAAATACAAAAGAAAAAATAAAACAAAGATAAAGAGAATATAATAAAAGATGCAAATAAAAAGAAAAAAAAGAAGGTAAGAAAGTATTGAAAAAAAACAAAAAATGAAAATTTGTTTATCCTAATAATCATTATTATAAGTCCGTGAAAGACTTGTAAAAATTATATACTATTAAATAAAATAGTCTCTACTCTAAATTTATCTAAATAGTATATAGAAGCTCAAAATCAGTAGAAAAATACTTCTTCGACCATATAATATAAGGGGTTAGTATTCGATTCTAGTTGTTTATTAGTTTGTTGTATTTGAGGCATGTGTTTTGATATGTTTGTTGTTCTGTTATACCGATTTAGAAAGTAAACAATACTGCTGTTTTGGTATATATGATATCAATCTTTTGAAGAGAGTAAACTGAAACACCTACTTTTTATAAAAAATTCTTGAAAAAAAGTAGTGGACCAACAAGAGTATATAAGGTTCTTCTTATAAAAGTTACAGTTATATAGTCTAGTTTTTCAGTTTCTACTTAGTATTCCTGTTCAAAGATCCATAGTGATGTTGCTTTCAAAATATCTTTTTGGTTTAGATATCAAAAATACAAAGGAGTTCACTAAACATTTGATCTAAAGGCACAGTCCACTTGTTGTTTATATGCTCGCTTCTCAGTATTTCACATATATAAAGTTTCATTGACAACAAGTATGTTTATATAGTATTAAGAATATTTAGATATCTACTTTGTTGCTTTTCTATATCATTTTTCTGTAGTTTGTTTGTTTTGTTGTTGAGCAAGAGATTGTTAAAAAAAGTTGAATATGTATCTTGGTAATATACTTGTTTAGTTTAACCAAATTATAAATATTTTAATAATAAATATATTATTACTAGTTAAGTTGACCAAATATATTACTTGATTTAATATATAAGAGTAGTTAAAAAATATGTTTAAACAAAAAAAGTACAATAAAAACCTAAAATAAAAATAAAATATTATAAAATAACTAAACAATCAATCAAAAATAATTAGGTTTACTCAAATATAAATAAAAAAAAAACAATAATTTTACTATAAAAATTTAATAAAAATATTTATAAAATAATAGTTTATTACTAAAAAATATACAATAATAAGGTTTTATTACAAAAATATAATCAAAAAAGAGTTAAATATACCTAAAAATGATATAAATAATTAAAGAAATAGATATAGAATATATATTAATATTTTTTTGTCTTAAAAGAAAAGGCAAAGTTTAAATATTTTTTAATAATATTATGTAATAATACTATGAATTATAATGTTATCTTTTAATCTGTAGTCTTTTCTAGGCAAATTTGTCTAAAAAATTATTATAAATATACTTATGATCTATATTTTTAAATTTTAAAATATTTAAATATTTTTTTTAATAATATTTGAAAATAAAGATTATATTATAGCGTATTTAATTTTATTCAATAGCACTAAATCGTACTGTTATAAAATGAGTTTTCTAAATTTTTTATTATTAGTATTATTTAGTATTATTATTAGTATTATTATTATATTCTATT